CCCACTGCCCTGGGGGGAACGCTCCAGGCCTCAGTCTTCCCCTGGGGAAGTCGCTGGGCCTCAGGGGCAGTGAGGTCAGTTAGAGACACCACAGCCTACAGGGTGTCTGGTCTGAGCTCTGGCCTCACCCTGTACCGACAATGCCCTTATTTCTGTAGGGACGGGTCTTCCGGGAACCTGCTGATTTGTCTCTGTCCTCTAAAGTAGTGCGTTAGTGCTCCAGGGGTCTGGGCTCCCCATGTGACCTCCTTGTCACTCAACAACCATTCCTGGGCATAGCTCAGGGCCTGTGACCTCTCCGGGCACTGGGGATGCAGAAAACACTGTGGAAGGAGAATGCTCTGGTTCTAAGTATTTAGAATGAAGCGTCACGATGTCTGTTACTCTTAAAAGTTTCAGGAAAAAAGGTGAATGGTGGGAACGTGGTAAGGGGGCAGGTTCACCGTTGCGCAGCATCTGTGGCGAGCTGTCGGCTCCCCTCTCCAGGACCGATGTGCCATCCCACCCAGATGTTGCGAGTGCTGGCGGTTCACTCATCAGTCCTCCCTGGGACTTGCCTTGGCTGAAGAGAGCTGCCTCAGCCAACGTGAGGCCCCTCCTGGGATGGCCCACATCCAGTGGACTCATGGGGACAAATGAGTGTGGCACTGTCTTCCAGAAGCTTGATTCTGAAGCAGAGAAGGCAAGCAGAGGATTTCATAGAACTGTTATATAGAAATTATTCATGCTTATTATAGAACAACTAGAAAATGCTGATAGTGAAACAATAAACGAAAAATCACCTCTCATACTATACCGGATGTAACAGTTACTAACGCTTTGTTGTTCCTGCCATGTAACAGTTACTAACGCTTTGTTGTTCCTGCTGTCTTTGATAACCACAGAGTAAGGACCACACCCAGGAAATCTGACATTGATACAATATTATGAGCTAGCAGTCGTATGCCAATTTGCCCAGTTGTCCCAATAATGTCTTTTATTTACAGTTGCTTCCACTCTTCCCCAACCTTATACCCTGCCCCCAAGCAAGAATCAAATCGAGGGTCATGCATCATGTTTAACCGTCATGTCTTTTTAGTCTTCTTTATTCTAACAGTTCTCAGGCTTTCTCATCTTCCATGGCATTTCACCTTTGGGGAGTTCACACAACTCCTTGGTTGGGGTTTGTCTAATTATTTCTTGTGGCACAATGGAGGTTAATATTTAGCAGGAGTACCACACGGGTGGTTACACCAGAGAGCATGTCATTCCAGGGTTCCCCACAATTGGTGATGTTAAGTTGAGCCATTTGGTTAAGGTAAGTTTGTTTTTAGAACTTTTTACATGCATGTTTTAAGATTTTTATGTTGCTCCAACTGTGGACATTTTTCTTGGTGGCTTTTACAATGAAATTATACTCAGAAAAGTATTCCTTACCCTAGACTATATATATCCACATATTTCCTCCAAACATATTTTCTACAATCAAATATTTGATTCACTAGGAATTAATTTTGGTTTATGTCATATGGTCATTTTGGGGGGCCCTACATACTTAGTCAGGTATCCAGTACCATCACAGATCAATTTTATTGAACAAGTCATCTTTTCTTCCACTAGAATTGTCACCATTGTTATATTCTAAATGTTTTCAAACGTCGTCGTTTTCTTCTGGATTCTGTTGTTGTCTTGATCTGTCAGTTCTGCTTAGAATGCTACACAGGAGTTTGCTTGTATTGATATCTGATAATGAAGCTCTCTAAGGTGGGCTCACTGTTTTATGACGTAAAAATATGAATCTGTTTTTAGACAGAACAGAAAGAAGAGAGAGGCTCCCTGGGGAGATAAGTTGGCTGGGATACAGAGCATGGATGGAAGGATAGTGACAGACACGGTGACAGCTAGACAGACATACACCCATCGCCGTGGCTTGACCTTTGGTGTGAATAGCTGAGCCTGCCTCTTCCCCTCCCTCTGTTCTGCCCATCTGTCTCTCAACATCATATATTTGGGCATCTTTCTGTGCCATGCATCAAATCTAATTTAATCTTATACTAGGGGAAAAGCAACCCACGCGTTGGGTGTATCATAATTTATTTTGTCATTACCCTATTAAATGCCATTTTGGTCATTTCCAGTTGTCATTATTACCTCAATTTTTAAAATCCTTGTATATTTATTATCATTTGTGTGAGTATACCTATGATAAATTAAATCTCTACAAGTGAAAATGCCAAGTCAAAGGATTTCGTTCTTTAAAATGTCGATGCTGTCACATTGCTCTTGGAAAATCTCTATGAACTTACATTCCTGCCAAGGGTATATAAAATTGCCATTTGTTCATCCTCTCACCAGGAATGCATTTTATCTTCTTTGGTATTACTAATCTGAGAGGTAAAGACAAATGGTATCTCACTGTTCTTTTCATTCGCAATGATTTGCTGGTGGCTTTCGGGATTCTGATTCTGTCACTCAGTGTTTTTACTAACTCTTTCAGATGTGTGCCCCTAACAGTCAGGACCAGCATTTCGATCAGAGTCCTCCGACTCTTTATCCAAGCCGGGAAGGAAGTCCGAGAGGATAGAACCCAGTTGGGGCGCTGCCCTAAATTAGTATATCATTTATAGATGGATCAGATTCTCAGGAGAGTGGGGAAGCACTTGGGGGTTGCCATGGCTTAGGGCCAAGTCCCCAGCTTTGTAGGTACCCTCCCCCTTTGCAGGGCAGCCCCAGAGACTGTCTCCTGCAGACAAATCGCGTGGGTGCCTTTGCCATGTGGGCCAGAAGATGTGAGGCAGCTACCCCACCCGGTGACACCAAGTCCCTGGGTCAGCCTCATGATGTATGATGCTCTCCTGTGTGAACTATGAGGCCGTCTGGGCCAACGTACCCACCCTCAGGGGCAGCTGCCAAATCTCACATCCTACACTGGAGGGACACACCTTCTGGTTCCTTCTCCCCGTCAGCCTCTATTTTCTCATTGTGTGTCTAGAAGAGAATCCCTGGGCTCCTATCTGACCACATCATTGCACATTCAAAGAGTTACCAGTTTTTATTCCAAAAAGAAGGCTTAAAAAAAAAAAAAATCTTGTGTCCACAAAAGTCTCTAACAAAGTCTAATGGGGATATAACCCCAGAACGTTCATGATACCGATATTCACGATGGACTCATCACCAGAGGAGACATGTCTCAATGACAGGGCCCATACAGAGGAAACTGAATGGACAGGTTGGACTAATTAGACTTCCAACTGGTTAAACTGGGACTTACCCAGAAAACATTAAAAGCCACCATTTATTGAGCCAGGCTCTGTGGTAAGGACTTTACCTATGTTAAAGTCTCTTCTGCATACCCTGACAGGCAGGAATTCCTGTCCCCATGTACAGACAAGGAGATAGAGGATGACAGGTTAACTCAATCAGAGTCACAAAGCTAGCGCATGGCAAAGGTGATGTGGAAGCCGGGTCTTTACCATGACCCCATATTGTAGTCTCTTTCCTGACCTCGATGGCAGTGTGTGGTCCTTGACTTTGTCCCCTCATCTCCCAGGACACCTTACAGCTCCAGGTAAGCTGATTCAACTGCAGAGGCCCCCATGCCCTATTCCTGTGTCTTCTCCCAGATTGAACAGGTCTTCTGTAATCCCTGCAGGCAGGAGAGTTCAGCCACACTGTGATACAACCGTTACAACCAGTGACCAGCAGATGGCAGTGTCCACCAGCCGTCAGCATTTGTCCCGAACAGAAGGGCTCCGAGAAATCCTCTATGGAACTTCTGGGAAAGAGGCCACTCCATCCCTTCTTTGCTGTCCCTTCCCTTCCCCCACACAATAGCCTGGAACCCAAGGACAGGTCCAGCCAGTGGCCCATGGCCAGGCTGCAGCAAACCCGTGTGTGGATGCCAAAGCTGTTGCCGGGGTAACCTGGGGGGAGGTGAGGATGGGGGCAGCAGGGCAGCCCTGGGTGGAGCATAGGAAATTCCTCAGGGCCCAAGGAAGCCCAACCTGAGCACCAGACAAGGGCCCTGAGCCAGAGCCCTGCTGGAATCTTCCCACACCTGCGGCCAGGCTGTCTGTCCCAGACCCTTCTGGGGGAAGAGGGTTGCAGCACCTCTGGCCGAGTGGAGACCAGCACCGTCAGAAGGAGTGACGTCCAGTAGGCAGCTGCCTCTGTGGGTGTCATCACCATCTTCCCTTTCCTGCCTTCCCAGGGAGACCATCTTAGGGCAAAGTCCCAGGCTAACCCCCACTGACAGCTCTGAGTCACACAAGCCAGGGACCGTGGTGGGTCCAGACCAAGGACAGGCTCCTGGCTGGGTCCTACCAGGGGGTAGTGGCCCCATCCCCATATGCCCTCCACTTCTCACAGGTGATCCCTCACCGGACATTTAATTGTCAGCCTCATTGTGCACTTGGGGATCTAAAAACAGGAAGGGCTAAAGGACTTGAGGCCCGAAGTTAGAGGCAGAATTTGAATTCAGGTATCTCAACTCAGGAGCATCAACTAATCATAGTCAGGGACCGAGAACCCCTAACAGTGCACAGGGCAGAAGCTGCACCTTCGTCACACCTCACCCAGGGCAGAATTGCAGTGAGACCTTCTGAATTACATGGAGAGAGCAAAAGCATAGGACCACAGAGGGGACCCCCTATCTCAGATGGCTGTGATGCCAAGTAACAGGGTGCTGATTATTTCCCCTCCTCGGGGACTTGGCTTCCTCATATGGACAATGTAAGCTGAAAAGCAGGCCATCTCTAAGGGGCCCCCTCCTGCTCTCGTTATCAGATATGGGTGGCGGGTGGATGTCCAGATGTGGCAGGAGACACTTGTTCGAGGCTGAGTAGGCTGCACCTGGGATCGGCCCAAGTTCGTGTTCCTGAAGGTCGCTGCAAGGTGGCTCTAGCTGGCAGAATCCAAGACTAACTTCCTAAGTGGCATCAATGCCATGTGCCAGGCTCATGTTTCCAGACGATGTGTAAAGCCCCACAGCAACGGTGCCTTTAAGAGATGTCGTGGCTCTCATGGTTCAGTATAAAGAATATCCTCACATTCAGAGCTGTCGGAAGGCTGTCTGCGATAGCGAGCTCCCCGTCCGTGCAGGTATGCAAGCACTGCCTGGGTAGCATTTGTGATGATTCAGGCATGGCATGGAAAGTTGGCCTGAGTAACCCAAAAGGTTCTTTCAGATCTCGGGATTCTGTGACCTGGATCAAGGACCTGGTGCTCAGAGAAAGCGAACAGCTCCTGTAGAGGATGGATGAGCAACAAAGTGCTCTCCAAGGGAAGGATCTGTGGGGTGAGAAACAGTCCTCCGCCCTTTTCCCTTTTTCTCTCCTCTGTTGGAGCCAAACTCACCTTCTCTCTCTGAGACAGCTGGAGTCTGGAGTTCTGGGGGTCAGAGGGGTGGTCATCAGACTGGTGCAGAACAAAGTTAGAAGGCCAGTCCCCAGTTGTCTCCCACCCTTCTCTGAACTTCCTGCACCTGCCTCTGCGCCTCATCAACAGCTGCCCAGTGTCTGCTGGGCACCGCAGAGGACAGGCACTTCCCTTCATAATGCACTTAGCAGCCCATAGACCACAACTTCCAGGTGTCCCTCCTGCCCAGCCCACCTATCAAAGGCTCCCCCCACCCCTTCGCAGTCCCCAAGAGGAAGCTCCAGGCTGAACCCTGTCGAGTGTGACCAGTTCTTGGCAACGTGGTACCAGCACCACCCAGAAGAACCTGTGACCATGCTATGTCGCTGGCTCTCTGTCCCAGTCCCAGTCCCGAAGAAGGTGGGTTAATGAAACTCTGGTCATCCCAGCCCCAGATCTTCCCATGCTAATTTCAGGCCTTTCTCCTCCGCCCACCGGGTCGGGTCGGCCTGGGGTCCGAGAAGTGACCCCTCACCAGGCCTCTCCTTCTGTCCTTATACCTCCCAGGTTGTGAGTGGCTCAGAAGTCCTAAGCTGATGGGCACCGTGTCTCCGCAGGGGTCAGGATGGCCACAACAATGGTGGGAGGAGTTCGCTTGGGACGAAGTAGCGGGTGTAGGGGAACGGAAGAGCCTGGGCCAGAGTCTCTCGGGACCTTCCAGGGCCGGGTGTCTCTGTGGGTCACTGCAGCTAACCCGCACGGGAGTCGGAACTCACCCGGCTTTGGATCCTGTGACGTCGCATTGACGCTAACCACCCACTCGAAGTGACCGTGACGCACTAAGCCCGTCTAGATTTCAAATTCGGTAGCAAATGCAACTTTAAAGGAAAAGGACGCGCCTGCTCTGCTTCGGGGTCCGTTCGGCTCAGCCCGTCCTATGCCAGACGGTGACACGTCGGTCTGCCGGACGTGCCGGCACCCGGGGGATGCCCGGGCTGCGGGTGGAGCTGAGCGGACACCCGCCGACGACCACCCTCCCCTGCGTGTGCCCCTGAGACGTGGCCCCGGGAACGTGCGGGCTATGGACTGAACCCAAGCGCCCCGCCGCCCGCGCGAGTGCGCTCCGGGATGCTGCCTCCCCCGACCCCGGCCCCGCGCAATAACCGCGGCGGGGCGAAGAAGGACAGAGGCGCCAGTCGGGGCTCTTCGCTGCCCGCCGTCCGGGCTTCTGGCTGCACCCGAATATACCTGGTAGCCTGTTTCTGTTAGCCCGACCCCTAGAAGGAGGGAGTCAGAATTGACGCACAGATGACTTGGGGCGCCACTCCCGCGCAGGAGTCCTGCGATCCTTTAGGATGGGCTCCCGTTTAAGCTCACGTTCCGCGCCCAAACCTTCGCTCTCCGACTGTCGATCCACGTCCATCTGTCCTTCTGCCCTGCCCTTGCGGCCGCTGGCTTTATTCCCTACGGGTCCCCTCCCCTGCTCTGGCCACCCGCTCCCATCTTTGGGGGCTGTGGCAGGGTGCTGAACAGCCGAACTGGTGACCCAAAACGCACCTTTGTGGCAACCCTGCGCGCCCTTTTGACCTCTGCGCCCTTGTGGCCTCTCGGTGCGCGTTGGCCACGGAGTCGCGGCACTGATGGACCTGGCCGAGCCATTCTGCCGCCCCACCTCGGGCTTCTCGGGCACTCTCGGAAAAGGAGCGGGGAGGGGCGGGTGATTCTCAGGGGAGCGGGGAAGAAGCTGGGCGGGCACGCATCGTGCCCCGGAGCCTCTAACTCCGGATGGCGAGTTTGGCTGGGACGCAACGTGGGCGGACTGGTTCGCAAGGCTGTGGGGAAAGGAGGCGGGGCCCCGTTTTGTGGCGGGAGCCTCCGGCCCGTATCACTCGCCTGTCGAGAGTGGGGTCGCAGCGATCCGGTGGGGGCGGGGGGAAGAGCCTCCGGCCCTGGACTCCGCGTT